AGTTGATGGGAAGGAAAGCTGGGAAAGCAAACTGGATGAATGGCAGCGAAGAGTGGACCTGGCCGAAGAGGGTGAATGGACCAAGAAGTTTTTTCCGGATGTCAGAAGAAGGATGGGGATACCATTAGAAATGAACTTCTATGTAGCACAGTACATAGGGGGGCATGGCGATTTTAAATGGAAACTAAAAAGACTAGGATTAACTGACTGTGATGAATGTGACTGTGGAGAGGGGCAGGACAGCGTGGAGCACGCCCTGATCCATTGTAAACTAAATAGGCAGCATCGGGAAAGACTGGAACTAAGTTGCTTAAGAAAAGGGATACTATGGCCATGTAACCTCTCGGAATTGGTGGAACATAGAACGTTATACGAGGAGTTGGGAAGATATGCAAAGAATACGCTGGAAGAAAAGAAGAAGAGGAGGGAAATAAGAACAATGCAAACATAAAAAGGATAAAACAAGGGAGGTATGACGAGGGCTGATAACACAGCCCAAAAGCCCTCCAGCAAGGGGATTAGAATTCTACTGGGGTAATAATTATGCCGGTCGTAAAAGGCGACCATAATAGTCGACGGCTGAGGTCGCTAAAACAGGGGTGGTAACCTTATAACCCTCGGGACGAGCGTCCTGATGGGGCTCACCTGGGCCCGGTTACATCAACCAAGACGGGTAGACGACCGCAAGGCTTCGGCCGACGAGCAACTGTCGAACAGGCCACCAGCCTGGGTGACCGAAAGGAACCAAAAAGGTGCTACGGGCGGGGGAGGGCCCCGGGTCGCGGCACTCGTCCAAGAACGGGTAAGTCGCGCCCTGCTCCCCCGGCACTTGCGTGCGGACCGACGCCGTCGCTCCGTGCGCAGTGTTGGCTTGGCTTCGTAGTGGCGGTTGCAGGAGCAACTATGTGGTTATGGCCAAGCTCGGCTAGGAACCTGTCGTTGGGTGACAGGTCAGCCTACTCAACCAGTGCAAACTGGTAGGGTGGTGCGAGACGCTCCCTGACTTCCTGTTCTGCTCTACCGGTGGGAGTTAATTACCGGAGGTGTAGACGCCTACCAGATGCGTTTAGTGGCCGAGATAGGGCCACGCCCTTACCGGGGTGTCTGAGAATGATGCGGGGTTCAAAGACGACAGGTACGCAATGGCGAGGAGTACACGTCAATGCGGTGCTGGTGTTCCTTAGAAGACCCAGAACGGGTCCGGACCGAGAAATCGTTCCGGCTCTTCTGTCCTGCCCCGATCTGTGAATAGCGCCACAGCGCTAAAACGGGTCGGGGTTGTAGGTTAGCCGCTAGGTGACACCATGCAAAGGACACTCATGTCCCTATCTACTAGTCTTGCTCAAACCGTCAACGAGTAAACATCGCTCCCGCGTTTTTATTCGTTTTCTCGTGCAATAATTTATCGTTTTTTGTGATTTTTGTGTCTGCTGTTGCATAACCTCCAGAGGAACAGCTGTACGTGTTTGCGGATCTGTGACTTATCCCGTTTGAAATCGGAGAAAGAGTGCCACGTGAGTACTTTTTTCTGTATAAATTTTTGTTTTCTAAATATTTCAGGATCGGCTCTTCGTATTGACTTGTGGCTCATACCTTCGGATTGGGCTCGGTCAGACGTATCCGACAGTAGCGGATTTGACGCCAAAAAGGCTCTGACAGGCCCGGGAATCGTCGAAAACCGAGGTATTTTCGATTTATATTTTATTTTATTGTTTATTTTTGTTGATTTTCGCTCCATAGCAACACCTTAGCAACCCCTAGCAACGCTAATCCCGTAGCAACGTGGGTTTGTTATTTCTGTTATTTTGTTTATTTTTATATATTTTGATTTTGTAAATTGCTGAGCAACCACCAATCAAGCCAGAAAGTGGACAACACTATTCACTATCTAGCTAATTTATTGATTTCATTGTTTATTATTGCTTTTTAGCAACACCGTAGCAACGCTGATCCCATAGCAACGCCGGTTTGTTATTTCTGTTTATTTTGTTTATTTTATAAATTTTGATTTTGTAAATTGCTGAGCGACTACAAATTAAGCCAGAAAGTGAATACAGCGACTATCCACTATCTAGCAGATTTATTAACATATAAACATGGGAGAAAGGGACTCCAGCAGCAACGTGGGTGCTAGCAAGAGAAGAAGGGCGGAAAGCCTGAGCTCTTGCAGCACGACGGACATAGTCGAGATAGATGAAGGCCTAGATTTTAATAGAATGGTTAATAGAATTCTTAGAGCTTTCGAATTTGATAAAAACGAGGAAGATTTTTGAAGCCTTCAGAAAGTTCTCAAAAACGACGCTTGAGGAGAAAAAAGTGAGAAGAACTACTCCAAGATAAGTTTGAATATATAGTGCTGTGAAATCCTGAATTGATGTGCAGTGCAGTGAATTTCATTGATGTGTCGTGCCGTGCAGTGTAGTGAAATGTAGTCATTGCTCTAGTCAATGACTACAGCGCCCTCCAGCAAGGGGCTTAGAATTCTACTGGGGCAATAATTATGCCGATCGTAAAAGGCGATCATAATAGTCGACGGCTGTGGTCGCTAAAACAGGGGTGGAACCCTTAAAACCCCCAGGCGAGCGTCTGGAGGGGCCTACCTGGGCCCGGGCTCATCACCCAAGTCAGGTAGACGATGGTTACCATTGTCGAACAGGCCACCAGCCTGGACTACCGAAAGGAGTCACATTGGTACTACGGGCGGGGGAGGGCCCCTGGACACGGTTTGCGTCGTGATTCAGCTCCTCCGGCATCGTGTACGGCTTGGCTTTGGCTGAGTTCTGTATGCGGTGTGGGCTTGGCTTCGTAGTGGCTGTTGTGTGAGCAACTAAGGTTGCCTGCAACTTTGTGGTTATGGTCAAATGCTGGACCAGGGACGTGTCGTTGGATGACGAGTTCCCCACTTGTTCGGTGAGAGCCGAATTTGTGGGTGAGCACTCTCTGACTTCATGTACTGCTCTACCGGTGGGAGTTAATCACCGGAGGTGTAGATGCCTACCAAAAGCATTTAGTGGTTGGGATAGGACCACGCCCTTACCAGGGTGCCTGAGAATGATGCGTGATTCAAAGGCAAAGGTACGTACTTGTTGCATGATTGTTAACGAGTGCGGTGCTGGTGTTCCATAGAAGACCCAGAACGTGTCCGGATTGGGAAACCGCTCCGGCTCTTCTGTCCTGCTTCGATCTGTGAATAGCGCCCCAGCGCTAAAACGGGTCGAAGTTGTAGGTTAGCCGCAAGGTGATACCACAAACTGGACACTCATGTCCCTATCTACTGAGTTCGGTCATAACAGCCGTCGAGGACACACGTGTTGAACGACGCTCTCGAGAACTTTTATTTTTCACGACCGCAATTTTTATCCGTTTTTTATAAAAGCGACATATTATTGAACGGTTAGTGAAAGCGCATCTATTGATACCACTTACGAACGAATACGACGATTTTTACGGCCGTGAGGCAGACTTGAGTGAAAATACGCGTAAATCGTAAAGTGCCGTGTTTTTTGGCTTAAAAAATTAATAACTTTTTTGGTTATTAAGTTGGAGGGCTAAAACTTGGTGAGCACGCAGAGGACAAGGATACCTTTCGATAGACACCAAGACCGAAAGTGAGAGTCAACCAGGGTCCGAGCGCGGACTTGAGAAAGTCAAAAAGTTAAGGTAAAACAATAGGAACTCAAGGTAAGAACAATAATTATATTACGCTTGGGAAAAACGCAAAGAATAGCGAGAAAAGGTCGTAGAAAGACAATCGAAGTCTTCACGGAAAGAGGAAAGAGAGTAGAGGAAGCTGGTGAAAGTCCTAGACGCCTAGGACCAAAACTCAGCCGGTGAGAGAGCCGAAAAGGGCTTAATTGTTAACACGAGGTGACAGTCTGCGGAAGACCACCCGGGTGTAACAATAGGCAAAGGAAAGTATAGGTATTTCAGGTTCTAGGACAGGTAGAATCGCGATTCGAGTTTTGATAGAAAGAAAAACGAGAGCATAGAAAGCCAGAAAAAACCCGAGAAAGATCAGACAAGAGGAAAGCTTGAAAAGTTCGAGGAGGAAATTGCGATAAGTCGACAATTCTGAGAATCGAGTCAGGTGATTACGGCGGCAATTCGGGCGGCCATAAGAGACGGCAAAACCAACAACAGCGAAACCTGAGACTTGCGTGAGAAGCAAATCGGGCGGCTATAAGGACTGTGAAATTCGGGCGGCCATAAGGTGCGTGCAAATTGGGCGGCCATAAGAATAAGACAGATAAGGACTTAGGAAAACGAATTCGGGCGGCCATAAGACTAACACAAGCGCGGCGGCGATTTAACACTAATAAATCGGGCGGCCATAAGAATACATAGACGGGCTTCTAGAAGATTCTAGAAGGTTCTAGAAGTTTCGCGAAGGATAAATTTGAGAGGAACCAAGAGTAGATTATTTGAGCGACAAGAACAACATTTTCGGACTTAGAAATTTTCAAGACACAAAGGGCACCTATAAACTATACAGGTGATAGTGGTATAGGAAATGAAGGCGGGTATCACTTATTTATAAGTAAATAAGTATATACCCCTCCCCTCCCGCCCGGGAATTTATTCAAACGTCCATAGCTCGTTCAATAATTGAGGTATCGACCCAGGACCTTCACAGAAATACTCAGGAGACAACGGACCAGAAGTACCAGAAAGTGACCAAAAGTTCCCCCCCCGGATTTTGACCTCCCCCAAATATTGGGAAGCTTATAATTCAGGAGGGAGAGAAGATAGAGAGACGGGACAAAGGCCAAAAGTGTTTATTTTTAAAACATTTTGAGGTACGTCCGGCACTTTTTTGAAAAGAAGCCCCCACAAAAAGTCACCCCCCCACAAAATTTGAGAGGGGTCCGAAGGACAAATTGTTCAGAGAATCATCAGAGACCACAACAGAAGAGAGGGCAAAGAGAATTAGCCCAGAAAGTACAAAGCCCTAGGAATAAGGGGCCCTAGAAAATTACACCAGGATACTATAAGAAAGCATCATGAGGAGAAGGAGCTCAGAAGGATCAGCGAGCTCGTACGTGACAGCGGACACAGACCGAAGCGGAACAAGAAGGTCATCGACAGAGAGTGGGCAGCATGCAAGAAGGTTGTCATCAGTAGCGGAGGAAGACGCGCACTGGGGGCGTGAGAACAGGAGAAACTCGGTTTGGGAAGACGGAAGAGGGTTGAGGAGATTTGACTCGACCTCTTCATTCACGAGCGTATTTACGGACAACAGCGGGAGTACGCAAGGCAGAGTAATGGATAGAGGAGATTACATAAGGAACAGACGAGAAGACGGAAACAGAGAGGAAGTAAACCGAAGGATAAGGGAGGAGAACGAGCGCATACTAAGAGAAAGGGTGCAGAAATATGAAAGGAGAAATGACTATTCTCAGCCGCCGAGGAAAGGCTGGGGAGGGGATTACTCCTCGAATTCATCTGGGTATGACTGGAGTAGAAAAAAAGAAGAGTCTAACAGGGAATACATGGAACAGGAAAGAAGAAGAAGGGAATATCAGGAGATTGAAGACCAGAGAAGGAGGGAAAACCAAAAGAGAGAGGATGAGCAGAGAAGCCAAAGGTACTGGCAACCCTCCTGGAAAAGGGAGCAGAGTAAACCAGCGATGTTTCTCTCATCCATTAAAGAGGAGGGGAGCCCCAAGGAAGCGAAAGCGAAAAGGGAAGGTAGCACAAAGGGACAGTCCAACAATACAACGGAGCTGCCGGCGTATAATGAAAGGGAAATCAAGTGGAAGGAGGAAACAGGAAAAGTGTACCCTAAACTCGAAACGACAAAGGAGATCATGGACCTGAAAAGAGGAAAAGTATACAAGAAGGAAGTCAAGAAGAAGGACTTCGAATTCAAGGACCTAACAGACTGGATCGATGATGAAGAACCGAATCTAGAAAGGAACAGATACAGCAGCATATTTTGTAAAAGAAATCAGACAGGACAAAAGAAAGAAGGGCAGAACCAAAAAGGGAAGGAAACATCTACAAAAGAAGATGTGCCGGGAACAAGCGGAGTAGAGGAAAAAGAGAAGGTAAGATTCTACAGATTGGATGAAACTAAGATTTCGGTGGAGGAGGAGGAATTCCTTAATAACACCGAAGGAACGACCTACAGTAGGAAATTACCGAAGGACAAAGTGGTGATGTCCAACGTGTCAAGCGATTCCTTGGGGTCTCAGTTTTACACATGGGACGACACCAGAGCCACAAGAGAAGAGGACGAATTTATTGAGAACCAAAGAAAACAATCACGGAGGAATTCAAGGGACTCAGATTCGGATGATGGGTATACAATGAATAGTATAAAATCATTTGGATCGAGGAGACTGGAGATAGAGGAGGACATAATGTATGAAGGGTCTATTGATGAATACGTGGTGGGTGAACCAAGAGGTCACTCCACGGGAAGGATTAAATCAGAGGATGGACCCCTAAGATTAAAAGGAGGTACGAAAGATCAGACAATTAACCTTGAGATAGAGGAAGAAATGAGCACAGATACTGACACGACAACGACCTCGAAGAAGAGGAAGCAGAGCGATGGAGGAAAGGAAGGCACGAAGACAGGAAACCTAAAGGCAAAGGAAATAATAGGAGAGCTAGAGAAAATCGTAATAACAGAGACAAGGGCAAAGAAAGTAAGTGTAGCCACGATAAATGCGCTAAACATGATAAAGATCAACATGGATGGAGTACTCAACAACATGGCAATGGAAAACGCCATGCTTTGGGGAAGACTACAGCAAGCGAAAGAGCACGAGACGGAGACAAGAAAACAGATAGAGGAGCTAAGGGTACAACTGGAGGATACCAAGAAGAGGAGGGTAGCCTTCAGAATGGAAGAATCGAAGACCTCGAATGAGTCACTGGATACGGCCTTCAGGGAGGCAACCTCCGCGACGTCAGGGAAAACGACGGACTCGGAGGAGCAAGTTAAGAGGAGGAGGAATAGGAGGAAAAGAAAGGATACTCCGAATACCTCTAGAGTAGTGGATACTACGTCGGAGAGCGAGGGAGAGTTCATTGAGGTAATAAGGAGAAAGAAACCAGCAAGAAGGGAAGTAAGGGAAAAACTGAGGGATAAAGAAGTCCCTTTACAATACGTATTTCCGAAGGAAAGACAGGCCACGGCAGCACCCACCAGGTATCTCTGGACGAAGCTAAGAGAGAAACAGGTGATACCGAAAGTCAGGAACACGGTGAAGCTTAATAACGGTGATCTGGTCATCACACCTGGTGACGAAAGAACGGCAAAAGCATTGAGGGAGATCTCGGAAGATCTAGGGTGTATCAGGCAGCGGGACACTGCATGGCCGAGGGTCAACATATACGATGTTCCGAGGGAATTGAATGAAAATGAGATTGCGATGGACCTCATTATACAGAATGAGGAGCTGTCGCAATACACAGTGGACGAGATTAGACCGAAATTCAGAAGAGGGCCACGGAATGAGGACACAGTATGGTGGGTATGTGAGGTTTCACCTCGCGTGTACCAATCGATCAAGGCAATGGCGAATGGAGCAAGGAGTACTAGACTCTACCTGTCATTTAACTCAGTGAGGGTGGTGGACTTTGAGATGTTGACGCAATGTTTCAAATGCCACGTATTTGGCCACACGGCAGCAAAGTGCAGGGCGGAAAATNAACGGTGATCTGGTCATCACACCTGGTGACGAAAGAACGGCAAAAGCATTGAGGGAGATCTCGGAAGATCTAGGGTGTATCAGGCAGCGAGACACTGCATGGCCGAGGGTCAACATATACGATGTTCCGAGGGAATTGAATGAAAATGAGATTGCGATGGACCTCATTATACAGAATGAGGAGCTGTCGCAATACACAGTGGACGAGATTAGACCGAAATTCAGAAGAGGGCCACGGAATGAGGACACAGTATGGTGGGTATGTGAGGTTTCACCTCGCGTGTACCAATCGATCAAGGCAATGGCGAATGGAGCAAGGAGTACTAGACTCTACCTGTCATTTAACTCAGTGAGGGTGGTGGACTTTGAGATGTTGACGCAATGTTTCAAATGCCACGTATTTGGCCACACGGCAGCAAAGTGCAGGGCGGAAAATGACATATGCGGGAGTAGGGTAATTTAGGAGATTCTAGAACCCCCCGCCTCACCCCTTCACCCACCCACCTGTATAGGCGTGGTCGGGGGGAGGGGCGTGTCACGCAGTGG